TGTAATCCTGGGTGTGCGGGTGGGGTAATGGATAAACGGCTCGGAATTGTTAATCAGAAAGCCTAGTGCCATTTCCAGTTGGGTTCATTATATTCACTTACACGGAAATAATCTTAGGAAATATATGAATCAAACTCTTTTCTCCCCAGCTATGGGTTAATTAGTAAGACAAACATTACTATCACATATTTTTTTAAATAATGTTTTTCTTACTAATTAACTCATATCAGGGGAGATAATAGATTCATACCAAGAGTATTTAAAACAAAAAGAGTATTAAAATAACAATAAGGAGTATTAAAAAATAAAAAATTGCATAAAAAATACTTGGAATTGTTGATATACCACTTGACAAGAAACAACCAAACCAATCAAAAATATGCCAATGAAATAATTTTCGGTTCAGTCTGACTATATTACGTTGCCTACAGCTTCTAAAATATAAAACGTATACACACTCAATAATCATTTTAATCATCATTTTTTGTCCACAATTACTTCAGTACTCATTAGGTCTGTTAATGCCATAATTTTTACAGACGGCCAAACACTTGTCTGATACCCGGCGAAAGTAATAAAGATAATCAATCATTGATAACGTTTGGAGTACAGAAATGTTGTGTCGGTCAAAGCCCGTATTCAGTTCATGACAATGGCAACTGATGGCGTGTGGTTGTTAGGAGACTTACGGTTATCATCAAACGTTTCAAGAAACAGAAATTAACATTGATAAAAAAAAAATAGTAAAATATCTATTTTCTAGGACGTTCAACACGTGCTTTATAAACGTGGCACGAGGATGAATGATTCTATTAGTAATGTAAAGTTTCCAGTACTTCAAAACAAGATATCCATTTGTGTATAATACACACTCTTAACAAAGTTCTGAAAAAAAAAGAAGATATTCTTATAATTTGCAGTTGTAAAATTTAACTTTCATTCCTTTAAACATTTTATCCGGACGGCAAATTCATTTAGCATACGCACCCGGAAATGTTAAGCTTAAAATGTGAAACAAAAGTACATATTTTACACAAATAATTATGGTAGTCATAAAATGTGTGACTAAGTAGATACCTCGACCCAGAAGAATTCGCATCAGTATGGCAAAGGTGATGAGAATAAATTTTAAACGAGATACTTAAGCTTTCACATATATAGCGTATCATGTCATAAAGAAAATGAATTATATATATCTATATATACACAAGCTTTGTTTGATGAAGAGGTCTGACGTAGCTGATTTGGTCAAAGTCAAGTCAGATCTAATGACGGTTTCCCCTAGGGGATGCAGGTTCTAATCCTGCCGGGGGTCGTATAATTTTCTAACCAGATTTCTCGTATATTCAAGCTGGTAGATGTAAATAAATATACTGTTTAATAAATAAAAAACAGAGCATCTAGTCAAATATGAGTACCCATTTAAAGAATAACGATTAAACAGATAAATTAAATATATATATATATATATATATATATATATATATATGTATATATATAGTCGACTCTCCCGTCGAATTCGACGTATGAGGGTCAAGCAGATCAGTTTCCCGAAACCGACAGACTGAAACGACACATTCTTCAATCCAAGCCGCTATCCATTACTCCACCGTGCATATATATACATATATATATATATATATATATATATATATATATATATATATATATATATATATATATGTGTGTGTGTGTGTGTGTGTGTGTGTGTAAGTGTCTTCCACTTGCTTCTACACACGCACGCACCTGTCGGATCATTGACTGACGGACCCTTTCAAATAAACGGTGTTGAATGGTTTCGCTGGCTCCCATGGCACGTTGATGAAGCGTATCTACATTCTTAATGTCTTCTGCATAAACCAATTGTTTTAGGAGGACACACACATATAAAAATCCAAAGACTTGAGGTCGGGGTAACGTGCAGGCCATGGAATCGGCCCTCCTCTACTTATCCCTCTTTCATAGTAGATGTCAGCCAGCTCATCGCGAACACTGTGGCAACTGATGGCGTGTGCTGGAGCCTCACCATGCATGAACCACATGCGTCTTCATATTAGAAGGGTTACATCCTCCTGAAGATCTTGAAGTGTGTTCGAAATAAAGTTCCTGTAGACAGTTCCTGTAAGACGTGCTGAGTGAACGTATGGACCTACCAGACAGTCACCTACAATTCCAGCTTACACATTAATCGTAAAGTGATGCTGGTATTTAGCGCGTGTTGCACCATGGCGATTCCAATCCACCCACAAATGTTGGTTGTGCAAATCTGTTATTCAGTCTCTTCCAAATGTTGACTGAAGAAACAAACAACGGATCAGTAGTTTGTGAAATAAACCATCGGTAAAATTTTTCCTGTAGTGAGTGATCAGCGGTTAAAACACCCTGCACATTTTGCAAATGATACGGGTACAGTAGCTGCTTTTGAAGTACCCTCCATACAGTACTATGAGATGTACAACAAGCTAAGCTCACTTTATGTGTGCTGATACCTGGATCGTCTCCGATAGCCTGTAGAGTATGTTCTTCCTTGGCAGGCGTACGAGCGGATCTGGATCTTCCTCAATCCATAATTTGTGGTGCCAATAATCCTGTCTCAGCAATGCGACGCTAAACAGAAGCAAAGTTTAGATGACTCGGCTGCATTCACTCTGGAAACGCTATCTGATACAGCCATGCAGCCTCGCGTCCATTAACATTCGCGCGGTCGTATTTAAAAGTCATATCTGCCTGCTCCCGATACGAATATCCTGTCATTGTTAAACGGAACACTGCTCAATTAACTCACTACTACACACGTTAAATGCTAAAGACAGAAATAGCTACAAATGTACACAAATAACAAATGTAACCTAGACTATATTGCAACAGAGCGCCATCTACCGTAAACCTTCTTTAAACTTAACTCAAAACAAAGTATTCGCGGACATATGTTTATATAGAGTTTTCTCCTTGTTTTGGTGTGAGGAGCCCGCCCTCAATATTTGTAAAATTTTTTGGATATACGTTGTATATATGTGTGTATTTTGGGCAGCAATTCCTCTTTTATACAAGTTTCATTGAAGACTAAGCGGTTAAGATTTTATTTAATCTCTCTCTCTCTCTCTCTCTCTCTCTCTCTCTAAGCAATAAAAAAAGTTTATTGGTTTAACAATAACGGAAAAGAAAGCTAGTGTGTATTATAGCAACCGGAAAGAAAGACAAAGTCTATTTGGTTTAGCAAGGCTATATACTCCTATTGATACAACTAAGCTGACTCTATTTACATTATTCGGACTATTGTCTTCATCTTTGTCGCCATATTTATCACAAAGTTTCGGCCGTTGTAAGCTCCGGCCTTCTTCAGGTAGTTGGAATGTCGAACTGAACCCTTTATTTCACTCACTGGGGTAAACTGTTCTAGTTTCACGTGCCATGTTTGATGGATGTCAGCTATCAGTTCATTTTCCCCCTGAAAGTTCTCCACTGCCTTAACCGGGTATTGAACTCTTTGGATCTTGTCACTGGATCTAACCAACGCCTTTATCCACTGTGCCATGTGTCCTTGAGAACATCTGGGTATTATAAACCTAATGTCTTCAGCAACCATTTTTACCAGTGATCCATCTTGCAATTTTTCTGTTATCACATCATGCTTTTACCAGAGCTCATATTGCAACTTTGCTGTTATCATTGCTTTTCTCTGGCACTCCTTATTACTGGTTCCCATATTGTATTTATTTCTATGCTTGGTCGGCTCAGGAGGTTTTTGTGGCCTAGCATATGTTCTGATTCTTTAAGTTTACGAATTTTCCAATTGTGTCTAATACTCCGAATAATGTAAATAATGTACATAATACCTCATCTCAGAAATATAGACAGACTCTAAGCTGACTCTAGACCGTAATAAGTAGCGTGTCAATAAAGAGAGAAATTGCATTTGAAGTTAGTCATTTATTAACACGTTAATTGCACGACTAATAAGCATGTCACTCGGTTGATTGATTTTATGAGCGATACATATCAGGAAACAATACACCAACTTTTCAGCTCTTCAAAACTAAAAATCATGCACTAACATTATTATTCGTGTATAATACGCGCACTCGTTTGTAACACACATACTGGTATATACTATGGACACTAGTGTATACTGTGTACTCTTGTATAATGCACACTCCTAACTTTAGTTTTCGAAATGTAAATACGCATTGACTGCTTAGAATATGTAGCAGTTAAATCAAACTTAAATTCAATATTTTTTCAACGTTTTATCAGGTTTTTATCGATAAGTATTTATGTAGTTTCAAACACACAATTTCCTCACTAATGTGACAAATTCACGGATTTCAGGGAAAATGCGATCACACTGGGAGAAATAAAATCATGAACAAACAACCATTTCAGTGGAATAAACAGTGAACATGATGTCCTTTTTATGGAAGACGGGCAAGATGACCCTGTCGATGACAAGAACATTTAAAATGACAAAGACATCTACTATGTTGATAACTTAAATGAAATTGTTATGACGTCTATCTTTGTTCCGGACAGCGATGAAGGAAGAGGGAAATGTGCGTATTATGTAGAGAGAGATAAGCAGTGGCGAAAGACAGAAAAAAAAGCCGGGTAGGCAGCAGAAAGACCGTGAAGGTTTAATAACACTGATAAAGACTAATATATGCAACTTGTGGCTACAGACTGCTACTGAGTTTGGTTTAATGTATAATGAAAGTATTGCAAAGAGGAAGTTTTATGGAAAATGAAAGCAAAAAAATAACATACTCAAAATCGGGAAGAGAGAGCTGAAATTTTTTGGGTACATAATGAGGTGGAGGGTCTGGAGAATTTGACTCTCACAAGGCGTATCGAAGGTAAAAAAAAGACAGGGGTGAAGGTGGGACACCTACCTGACAAGTTTGTGTGAGTGGATCGCAGAACGGGTGCGGGATGGTCTAGAAAAAACACAAATATTATAAAACGCTATCAATGATAGAAGCTATGGTCACTCACAACCTGAAGAGTTACAGCACATAAAAGAAGAAGAAGAAGAAGAAAGAAAGAAAGAAAGAAAGAAAGAGAGGAGGAAGAAGAGGAAAAGGAAGAAGAGGAAAAGAAGAAGAAGAAAGAAATAAAAAGAGGAGGAAGAAGAGGAAAAGGAAGAAGAAGAAGAAAGAAAAAGAGGAGGAAGAAGAGGAAAAGGAAGAAGCGGAAAAGGAAGAAGAAGAAGAAGAAGAAGAAAGAAAGAAAAAGAGGAGGAAGAAGAGGAAAAGAAGAGGAAAAAGAAGAAGAAAGAAAGAAAAAGAGGAGGAAGAAGAGGAAAAGAAGAGGAAAAAGAAGAAGAGGAAAAAGAAGAAGTGTAAGAAAAGAAAAAGGAAGAAGAAAAAGAAGAAGAAGAAAAAGAAGAAGACGAAAAGAAAGAAGAAAAAAGAAGAAGAAGAAGAGGAAAAGGAAAAGGAAGAAGAGGAAAAGGAAGAAGAAGAAGAATAAACGCGACACTCATTGACAATATAACTTAAGAGACGTGATGTAATGTTTAGCAAGCTTATCTCGCGAGATCAGTTACGACTTAAAAGTGAGTTCGATCCTCACTGGGTTTTCCATACTTTCGACCTTGTGTCACATCTAAGCTACTCTTAGAAAATAACTTACTAGAAATAGTGACTAACTTGGTCATTTTTGTTTTATTGCAGGTGTCTTTCCAGTCCATATGACATGTTTGATTGCGTATGAATAAAGTCAATATGTCGGAAGACTCAGATGTGAAAATGGAATTCAGACGATCATTTGTAAATGTTCCAGTTTTTTTTAACCAGTCTCGAAAAACAACGTTAACTTCTTTCACGCTATCGCGCATGTTGCTATCCGTACAGAAGAGGATATGTTACGCGGTTTGTATCTTCCCGGAAAGTCCAGTTTGGAGTCTCATATGCTCGGTCGATCTAGGGTATGAAAGACTTGTATCACCCGTAATCCCTAACGGAGGCGATTCATCTTGACCCAATGGTCTCACTGTAGATCATGGTTTGGTGGACGGAGAGATACGTCAGTGATTAACAATTTTAGTCAACAAGAGAAAAAACCTAAGACTCGAACTAAAGAATTGAAGATGTCAACAGCAAATAAAACAGTTTATAGATATTTAAACTTCTGTATTTAACAGAGGGTGGAAAACATGACACGGATATCTGAACATGCAATGGATTAGCGAAAAATGCCTTCCAAAAGCTAAACAAAATATTAAGAAACAGGAAAATTTCGTTAGAAACAAATAAAAAAGATTGCTGAACTACTTTGTGATATCAATCCTCTTGTATGGTAGTAAATGCTGGAGAGTCTCATTACAAATGAAGGGATAACAGAAAAGTGATTCTACAGAAGGATAATGAGAATACAATGAACTGATTGATTAAGCAACGAAGAAGTCTTAAAGAATACGTTAATAAGAAAAGAAATCTTCTGTCTAGAATCAGAAAGAAACAGCTGGAATTTCTTCGGTACATCATGACGAAGGAGGGGGGGTCTCGGAAAACTTAATTCTTACAGGACATATCGAGGGTAAGAGAAATAAAAGAAGACAGTAGGTCACCTACGGAACGAGCTTGTGTGAATGGATGGAGAAGTCGGGAGATATAATAAAGGAAGAGCTACAAAGGAAAGGATGTTGTGGAGAGCTATGCTCGCTTATATCCTGAAGGGGCACGACACGAAGAAGAAAGAAGTGTGTGTTCGGACATTTTGATTGCAATATGTTCGCACATTTTTCAGGACTACCAGATTTTTTTGTTAGCTTAAGTTTATATAACATAGGAGCCAAGGAAAAAAAAATCTAGTCCCCGTAACCATTGTTCTACAGGTGTTGGAATCCTTTAGTGAAAAGGCGGAGGTACTACTAAAGGTTTTGAATCCCCGGGTCGAGGCTTTCGTCATTGACCTGAACGATACTAGTACATTTACGAAAATGAATATTTATAATAATTATTAATTATAATAATTAACTCGAAGTTATTATCCAGAAATAATTATTTATTAATAAGCTCACATCAACGCATTGGACGAGCGAAAGAAGCATTCCAAAAACTAAATAAAGCGTTGAAAAACGGAAAAAAATCCGTTAGAAGCAAAGAAAAGAGTGCTGAATTGCTATGGGTTATACATCCTCTTATATGGCAATGAATATGCAACAATCTCTCTATGGATGTTGACAAAACTGGAGACAGCAGAAATGTGGTCCTACAGAAGGATACTGAGAATTCCATGGACGGAGCGATTAAGCAACGAAGAAGATTTATTACGTTAACAAAAAAAAAATCTTTCCATAGATATTGTTTGCGTAATAGACAAATACAGTAGACCGGCTGAGTCAAATATATGCAAAGAGCGTGAAGAGACAATTGCGACAATCTTTTGTGAATTGTACAGGTTCGTCACCGGACTCGAAAAACAACGTTAACTTCTTTCACGCTGCCGTAGATGTTCCCGTCCGTGCACATCAGAACATGTTGCGCAGTTTGTAGCTCCCCGCAAGTCCAGTTTGGGGGTCATATGCGAGATCGATCTTGGGTATGAAAGTCTTTTATCTCCCGTAATTCCAAAAGTAGACGAATCAGTGTGATCCGAACGGAGGTCGATGTTACAAAATAAAAGGTTTAAACTGGCAAAACAATACAAAAATATGTCAACAGAAATGTCAGAATAATACGTTACTTTGATTTTATCCGCGCTACGCAATCGAATAAGTCTAAAATTCGTCAAGTTGATAGATGCGTACTTGATACGGAGGCTAAAATAATTTGCTGCTATAATCTTTTAACATCACGTTTCTAATTTGGAGCTCTAGGGTACCGCACATTTAGAAATATTTTAATACTATTGTTCACCCAATACAAAGCCAAAGAGCCACTTAAGGTAGACGGTTACAGAATGAAATTGCTGTATAGATGTCAGATGAGGAGTGGGTAAGAAGTGCAGATTATGAGGATATGTAGGATAGATAACGGTTGGCTTGAAATGGTTAAGATTATAATAATCGGGGAAGCATCACCTCGGGAGCATGTCCTTTAAAACAGCGGGTCTTGACCGAATTGTACTTCCATCTGACCGATGGGATACAAAGGGAATTAGGATGGTTCGATCCTGTGTACATGGGGGAACTTAGCTGTAAAGAAATGTTACTTTTGTATAGATAGTGAACCTTTAATAGAGGGTTCAAATATGTATTGTACTTTTTTTTTCTTTTTTTAAACTGCTACAAAATTATTTTTAAGAGATTAAGAAAGGTTAAAACTAAAATCCTAGAAAACTCATCTGTGAATAATTAAAACCAGAAGTCTTTTGGTCAGGTAGCTTTTCTATGTCGTAAAGCTACATACATGATTCACTTTTTGATTTTTGAGCGTGCAAAGGGTTTCATTTATAAACCTTAATTAATCATTTTTAATTTATTTTTGTCCCTAAGATTCATTTAGGCTATTTTTCAAATGCTGGCTGATTTATTTCGCGGCGAAAATGTATCTTGGTGCTATGAAGCACTTGGCTACTAAATTGGAAATGCTCCGACATCCTTAGTTCTACCAGTTCAAAGCTTTACGACTAAGACTCACTACGTCATCTACACAAAGCTGAATCATCCTAATTCCTTTTGTATTCCATTTGTAAGAAAGAAGTTCCATTCAGAAAACCCCTTCCCCTTTTTAGTTTAATGCTTTGTGCAACGGATTCCCATGAGGATGCTTCCAAAATCACTACAATCTTAACTTTTTAGGTCTATGGTCAAGTATCGATCTCTTCTACATATTCTCAGAATCTTCACTTCTTACTTCCTCATCTTACGTCCATTCAACAATCTCAATTGATAACCCTCTACTTTCACTCTTGGGCCTTGTATTGGATGAATATCTAGTAAAGACAATAGAAAAAAAATCACTCAAAACTTTTTCAGGCGTATAATCCTTACCTGAAGAAATGCAAGAATTTTACACAAAAAAAATGTAAGGTGAGGGACATTTAGCATTTTATTGATGCATATAAAATGCAAAGTTTACTCCTAGTTTAAGTTACTCTAAATCGAAAAGGTTTTTCAACTGTGAGTAGTGACCCGACATTAAAACCACTTTTATTTCACTACAGCCTATACATGCTTATACGATAGACCCAAAACTTTTGCCCCTATAAATTTATAGTCTGGGGTGAATCGCTGCGTCTGCCTATACTACTGGTTCTGACAAGGCATGAACATAAATACATAACCGTTTTTATCAATAGATTTGTAAGAAACATCTATATCTGAAATTATGATTGGCTGTTGTAAGCGGGAAGCTTACTACTTCACTCTGTAAAAACCCTACTTGCTCTGGAAACCACAACAGCAATACTTAACTCTACACTGCACATGTGAGTCTTCAGCGTTAACAATAACATCGATCATTGTACAACAATCCCGCACTCTTTAAATTGCTAAAACTCTGCAAAAAACACAGACCTTAAGACTTTAATGACCAATGTCTGTTTTAAGATCGCTTTTGTCCATATTATCGATGATTTTATTTATTAGCAATTTATTGATACGCAAGGAAATTTACACAAGGGAAGTTAAGTTTGTTGCAATATAGATTAGCCATAGGCACTATTTTGAGAGGACGGGTGACACGAGAAATTAAATTTTCATTATTAATATAGAAGAGAAAATGCAGTTATTATTGCTTCTTTGGCTGATTAGCCTTTCACATCAAAAGTATAAGAAACATACCAAGTATTGCAAAGATGAAAGAAAATCGCATCTGGACTGATTAGAAATAAAGGAAAATAAAGAGAGCTTTTTATAAGAGATTTTATAAAAAAAACAAAAAAATATGTATATTTGATAATTTTAGTTTAATATAGCTATATAGGGAAAGGACATGGAAAGAATGAGGGAAGAAGATTGTGTTGTGTTAACTATCAAAATATGAAAATATACCCAACCTTGAGAATCAGCATTCAAATTCTGGATTCTGAGCTCGAACACAAATATTATTGAAAAGGAAATATCTAAGTCCTCAAGCAAGTCATGACTTCTATGCTGAATTTAAGTATAAAAGTTGTTTTTTTTTGTTTTGTTTTGTTTTTTTAATAATTTATGTATTTTAAATACAGATTAAAATCATATGAAAATTCAGTTATTTAATTTTTTTTAATTTTAAATTATTTAACCGAAATATATTGAAAAAAGTAATTCTGGACCCAAAATGGTCTGTCTATTGATAATACTTACTGCTTGGGACTGGTCTCTTCGTTAAGGGCTTATACGCTGTCGTAGGAAAGCTAGATTTCGTTGTTTGTTGAAGAGTTGACGACGATTGTCGAAAGTGGACGTTAGAAACTCTGTCGGTATTCGTTTTCCGTTTAGGTGCAGGAGTACTTACATAATTTGTCGAATAGACTGAAGAGCGACTGACTGTACTTACATTAGTCGAACGAATCGAACTTGAAATAACAGGACTAGTAGTTTTGGTTACGGTAGTTGTTATTGCTATTTTTGTTTGTCCAGCAGTTTCGGTACTATGTTTGTTATTAGACTCTGACGTCCATAATGTATCCGATGTGGAAGTTGGTATATTTGAAGTTGGCATGATTGAAGTTGGAGGACGTGTTTTCATTGTAGTTGTACTCTGCGTTGAAAAATCTTGCAATGAAGATGATCTTTTTGTTGTAGGAAAGGACAGTGTTGTTGCTATTTTTGTTCGCCCAGCAGTTTCGGTTCTATGTTTGTCACTAGGCTCTGACGGCCATAATGCATCCGATGTGGAAGTTGGTATATTTGAAGTTGGTGTAATTGAATTTGTAGGACTTATTTTCATTGTAGTTGTACTGTGCGTTGAAAAATCTTGCAATGAAGATGATTTTTTTGTTGTAGGAAAGGACAGTGTTGTTGCTATTTTTGTTCGCCCAGCAGTTTCGGTTCTATGTTTGTCACTAGGCTCTGACGGCCATAATGCATCCGATGTGGAAGTTGGTATATTTGAAGTTGGTGTAATTGAATTTGTAGGACTTGTTTTCATTGTAGTTGTACTGTGCGTTGAAAAATCTTGCAATGAAGATGATTTTTTTGTTGTAGGAAAGGACGATGTCATACTTTGATCAGTACTAGCAATTTCACTTTCCATGACTGATTTCCAAATCTTGTCAGCTGTCAGATGCAAATTCTTCAGGAGAAACAATAAAATTTCATCAAGAATGATTAGAAATGGAGAAAAAAGAAAGAAGAATTGATATTTTATATTTAACTAATTCAAAATATATTTCATAACTTTAGCTTAATCTAACTATACAGGGACTGGTCTTCAGGATATCGCTTAATCTAACTATATAGGGACTGGACATAGGGATATCGTTAATGTCCCTGGAGAGGGTCTGGATATTTGTAAAATTAGCATTTGAAATCTTGGTTAGAACACGTGTCACTGGAAGAGGTCTACCAATTTGTAAAATTGGCATTTGAAATCTTGGTTTCAAACACTGATTATTGGAGCCGTTTGGTAACAACCAAACAGGCTCAATAGATCCTGGGAACTATTTAGGTTTACTGTACTTGAATGTGGCTGATAAATCCCAGTGGGTAACACGCAACTAGCAGCCAAGCATGTTCAGCAGATATACATATAATAATATATATATATATATATATATATATATATATATATATATATATATATATATATATATAAGCGAATGAACATAACTGTGTGTATATATATTATATTGAATTGGAATAATATATAAAGCGCCTGTATAAGTAATTTTTTAAAGTGCATATTAGGAATAGTTTCTTTCTTTTTAAGCGGTTTGTCGGAAAACTTCATATCAATTTTTTATATATCAAAAACAATTTTAGGAACATATATAACAAAGTGGGAAAAATATAACATATTTAAATTTTTAAAACTTTTAAATTTCAGCGCGCCTACTTCTTCGTGTGCATTTGTAGTAACATCAATGTAAAGATCACTTTCGACCAATAAAGTCCGAAAGGACAAAACGCATTACACGTAATTTTTCCGCTTTGTCATAGATTTGCCTAAGAACGGTTTTGTCAAAATAGTTTTGAAAGATTATTGTGTAAATTTTTAAAGGGCATATTAAGACATTTTTTTCTTTCTTTTTAAGCGGTTTTCTGAGAAAACGGTAGATAAATTTTTAAATTAAGAACAATTTTAAGAAAATCTATGACAAATTGGAAAAAATATTTTAATTTTTTCGAAAAAGGTTCTGAGTATTTGAATTTTTTTAAAACGGTTTTCAGTATTATTTACATTCGGATTATTGTCATCATCTTTGTTGTTTTTGTCACAACGTTTTGACTATTATCCCCCTCCAGTTTTCATTATCCGGTTAATCTACAGGGAATTCTGAACTTACTGCTCATGTCTAAGGATATCTCGTCTAGCTCTCATTTTTAGTATTACTAGTGCTCGTCTTATTTCTACTGAGTCCTTGTATACAATGCCTGGACCTG